GTCCTGTCTCCATACCTTTACAATCTGTATGCAGAACAGATCATCTGAGAAACTGGGCTTTATGAGGAGGGATATGGTATCAGGACTGAAGGAAGACTTATCAACAACCTGCGTTGTGCAGATGACACACCTTGCTAGCTGAAACTGAGGAGGACGTGAAGCACTGGCTTCAATATGGATTGAAGCTCAACATCAAGGAAACAAAGATATTCACCACAGGGCCAACTGGCAACAGCATGATAGATGGAGAAGAGATTGAAGTTGTTAACAATTATAGCTTGCTTGGGTCCACAATCAACACTCTTGGTACCAGCAACCAGGAAATCAAAAGATTAACTGCTTTGGGAAAATCTACTGTTAGGGACCTCTCCAGAGTACTAAAAAGCAATATCTGAGTCTAACGTGCACTTGATCTAGGCCATGGTCTTCACAATTACTTGTTATGCATTAGAGAGCTGGACAAGGACTAAGGATGACAGAAGAATTGATGCGTTTGAGTGTGGGGCTGGAGAAGAGTCTTGAACATACCATGGACTGCCAAGAAAACAAACAGGTCTGTCTTGGAGAAGGTGAAACCAAGTTTCTCCTTGGGGGCTAGGATTTTTAAACTCCAATCTCACATACTGTGGGCAAATGATCAGGAGTGACCAGTCCCTGGAGAAGGACATCATGCTTGCAAAGGTGGAGGGACAGCACAGGAGAGGAAAACCCTGGATGAGATGGACTGACATGTAACTGGGGTCATGGAGGGAGGTGTGCTGGAGTCAGTCAGACTGGCTCAGGACAGGGCAGGGTTCAGAGCTGTTGTACACAGAGTTTTTATGAGTCACAGGTGACTCAACAGTATACAACAACAACAACAACCACAAAACAACAACAAAACAACCACCCTAGAATACCATTACAAGGAAGTTCCTGGAGCTCATAATAACACCTCAGTTCCTGGTGCCTCAGTCTTCCATTTGTGAAGGAAAATGCAGCCCCCAAACCTCGGAGCACAGCATGTGGCACGATCTCAAAAGCTGTGGCAGTTGCAGCCCCATAAATCCTGGATGTGGGCATACACAGCTTCAATGGAGAAACAACTGACCACTTTACCACTGTGATTCCTGATTGTTATCAACTTTCCTGATTAAAACAAAACAAAAACTGCCTTAATTTTATCAAAGATAAACTTATGGTTAAATTCATATGAATTGACGTTTTGTGGGGCTATATTTAAATAGCTGATTATGGAGTTATTTTTAAATACTAACCCCCTCAGTGCTCACCTCTCCCCACACCCACATGTATCAATTCATTCAATAAGTAAAATATTATCTTACTACATTGGGAGAAGGGAGGGAGGTAAAACAGAGAACTGAAACCCAGGGCTTCATTAACTGTTTTCCTTCTAGAGCCCTTTCAAAGTAAGACAAATGTTCTGAATACCAGGAGCCAGAATGATTCCAGTCTTTGTTTTAAGCAGAGAAAAGAAATTGAGCTACTCTTGTGATTTTAAGTATTGGGCATTTTAAAGAGCCTCAAAACCAGAAAAGAGATAAGAGTGGTTCATCCCATGCATGAAACTATAAGCACAATTAGGGATTTAAAATAATACATGTAAAAAGATTAATTTGTAGAGTCTCCTAAGCACATCTTATGAAAAATCAAGTATACTGGTACTTTTAATACTCCATTTTATATTTGTATATTTTGGATGTAAAAATATACTGTTTTTATTTTTAAAAGATATGTTCAAGAATTTGCAGAATATTTTCAGAAGGAGAATAACGGAGAAATGCTTATGCCTTTCAATTTTTTTATTTTTTTAAAACTGAAAGGAACACTAGCTATTATGGGTTGAATTGTTGTTGTTATGTAACAATAGGAACTGAATCACAGCTGACCCTCCAGAGGGTTTTCAGAGGCTGTAAATCACAGGGCAGGAGAGTGCACATCTTTCCCTCCAGGAGCAGCTGATGGATTTGAGTGCCAGCCTTTGTGTTGGCTAGGCCATCAAAGCTCCCTATGGATAGAATTGTGTTCCTCACATCTCTCTCCTTGTGGTTGTAATCTCTTCAGAGAATAGGATATCTCTGCTATGTTAATTAGGCAGGATTAGGGTAGGGTGAATTTTGCACCAATCTTTTTTCGATAGGAAACAACTAAGTAAAAGAAGCAGAGATGGGGAAAAAGAGATGCCAAACCATAGGATGATTGCCCACAAGCAGAAGCTAAAAGAGGCAAAGCTCTTTCTCTAGAGTTGACAGAGAGAGAGGTCTTCCCCTAAAGCTGGCATTTGTACTCTTAGCTTCCTAAATTGTAAAAAAAACCACATTTGTTTGTTATAGCCATTCACCTACAGTATTCCTGTTACAGTAAAACTAAGACACTTGCTAATGTTAGTTGAAATCATGACACTCCAACATCTAGCCTTGTTCATGTTATATCTATAATCAGAGATGGTGATGTAGAAATACAGTCAAGTGGCATTTAAAAATACACAAAAATTGAACATGTTATACATTTCTCTTTTAAAATGTAGTTTGTATTATTTTCACCAATCAAAACACACATAATATATTTTTTATTATAAAAACTTAGGCAATGTTACTTTTGAAATATGTAATCTTATACATCACACATGTATTTACTACCAGTACGAAATACTGGTGGAGTTACTGTAAAATCAACCAGGCGAACTCATTCATAGTTATCATGACTTAAACAGCATTAAATCCTGATTAAACCAGTATCCTGTTCAGTGTCTCAACTACAGTTTTGGGAATTAGACAAAGGTCCTGCAGAGGACTTTGTCCTTCCAAACCTGGGCTCCAAACTACATGCTCCAAAGATAAGAGCAGAGCCCGATTTCCTGCCTTCTCCATGACCAAAGCTGACTCACGTCTTTTCAGTGTTTCTAATCTGCTTTTAAATTCTGTTAGGACTCTGTCTGCTCTCTGAAACCGTCACCTGAAATCAGGATCCAACACAGGGGAGGCAGTGACTGAAAACTAAGCCAATAAACAAAATAAACCTAGTCCAAGTTCCAGGATAATAATAAATCACCTGGCTTATAAAAATACATGTCCAAAATAGTTACTTCCAGGGTTGTGTACAATATAAATTACAAAAATAAAATAGAAAAGATGAAAAAATTGAGCACATTTTTCAATTCTTTATCCAACATCAGCTTTTATCCACAGACATGAATCTGAAACCATGTGCACTGCACCAAGACCATAGCAACTCTAGGCTCAGGAGGGAGAATCCTGAGACAGGTGAGGTATTTTGATGAAGACAAGTTGTCTCCAGCCCTGTGGCCTTTCCCAGGCACACTCACCTCTCCCTGATGGAAGATGGTCTGGCAGGAAACCTGTCCCTACCATCACTGCTTCACCTGTGACAACAGGCCCACCAAGAACAGTGAGCAGGAAGTCAATCTATGAGTACTTCACTCCATTTACAAGTGTATTCTGGTAACAGGACCTTGATGCACCAGAGTGCTGCATTTATATCGTTTTCAGGGCAGACAGGAAAGTTAAAAACAAAACAAAACACAAAACCTCCCCTTTTATTTTGTTTTCCACTTAAAGATAGATTTAGTAAATTCTTCTTAAAGAAAATGTATTATCAAGAAGGCCATTTTAAAATGTTTAGATATGCATAGTGATACTTTCCTTAATTATACAATCAAGCCACCAAGGCCAAAATAATTCTAAATCACTTAAGAGGAGTTTCTGCCTCAATCCAAGTTACTATTTCCGTATTTTACTAGCATGTGTCTAGTGACACTATATAAAACTATCTTATTTCGTTATTAATTTTGTTCATCAAAGATTCTATTTTACAGTGATAAGACCAACCAATAAGATACAACTGGTGCACAGAGAATCATATATTTTAGATAGTATTTATAATAAACTTTCTTATCAAAATTCCTCCTCAGAATACATTCCACAGAATGTTGAACAAATAGTGTTCAAAATAATTAAACACAAGATATGAATCTGTAACAAACTAAGCTCAAAAGAAAAAAACATGAGCACAGGTAGGTAAAATGTGATCATCGTAACTCCATTTCTGCAGTAACATTTAAATACTCAGTTATCTTCATGACTTTTTAATAATTTACACATCAAAAAGTCTGAAAGTATCAATTTCAGGTGAGCATTTGTAAATTATAAAATAGTTCATAGTTAATCACTACTCTTTAGCTCTTTGCAGTACCTCACTCTCTCTCTGAAGTTTTCCTAGACCACTCACAGCTTTCCTCTGGGGACAGGAAATGTCTCCACAAATTGGAAACAAGGACAAACAGGCCTTTCAAATCTGCTTTACATCCATAAAGAGACTAAAGGAGAATTTATACCTAATCTGATTTCTTTCAGAAGAGAAATAAAGTTAAGCAAAGATCTGTGTGAGAAAAGGGAAATGCTATCTTGTCCAATCATCTATTTTACCTTAAATTGTGTAAGGTATCAAAGGACTCAGTCCAGTCTCTGCCTTAAAGTAAGCACTTAGCAAATGGCTCTGATCACCTGTAGTGATCACTCTGCAAAATGTACTCTAGCATTAGGTAATGGATTCAAGACTCTATTTGCCATCAAATTATTGAGATGGAGTGTTATATGCTTAATAAAGAAGGTAAAGTTCTAGGTAGTAGTTTAAATTAATAACAAGTTTAGAAGACAAAGAAATGATAAATAAAAGACAGAACTGTAAAGGTATACATGTCATCAGCAGTACAAAACAAAACTTAGAATTTTATCATGCAGTAAAGCTGAATTTACAAATCATCCCAGCTCAAGACAACCTAGAGAAAAGGGAGAGTATAAGTGTCTTGGGTAATTCTCAGCCTAAAAGGTTACAAATTATACTTTTATTTATTGATTAGATATTTTTTTATCTGAAATATAAAACAGAGAAAATGGTGGTATCATCAAGGAGTAAGATATGATGATAGGGTGATGGCCAATTAACACACATAAATCTATTTTTTATGGACACACACCAAATAAGAGAAAAATCTAGAAGCAGTACTACCTGGAAGATAATTGGGCATTTAAATACCAATTTCCAAAGTGCTACATGGGCAAGACCAAGCAAGCATTTGTGGCCACATGCACATAAGTCCCAACAGATACTGATGATGAGAAATTGTCACTACTGTCACCAAGTCACTAAAATAAATTCATCTATTCTAATTGCTCACCTGAAATGATCTTGAACAAAATCTCTAAATGTGTGGCTTGCACTTTTTAAATCTTCAGACATAATCTGCTTCATTTTATAATCTAAACAGGCAATCATAATAGAACTGAGTAAGGGCAAGGCATTGTGTTTCTTACATGCAGAACATGGAGCGTCTTTATTTGGTTCCATCAACTCCCAAGCACTGAGGCCCATGGAAGTGAGAATTCCTTCACTGACGATAAGTCTGCTGTTTCTGACTTATCATCGACAACCTTCCAGGGGTCCTGTCGAGGCATCAAGGCTGCTGTCGGTATCCGAGGCCAGTGTCTGCTCAGTGGACATGGATGAAATGTCGTTGATAGATGATGACTGAGAAGGAGTGGCGTTGCTACTTACTGCTGCATCTGTGCTAAGAAAACCAAATATCATAAAATCTGAGGCATGACACCATTGCAGTTCCAGGCAATGACACTTAAGGCCATTTCTCAGCTCTGTCTTTCTGTAGTCTCCCAATCCTACTTATTAGTATAAACAAACAGTTAGTCAACTATGTAATTTCAATTTTTTTCTTGAACTTTCTATAGGGCCAGGATCCCAAACAGTTTTGCCTTTTATGCTGCAACATTCTCCCTTTCTTCCCAAGCGCTAAACCTCATATACAGTCCTGCATGATCATGTTAACTGCTAAGAAATACATACTGATTTTCAAAAGAAAATTGTTGACTTTTCCCTAAAATTATCAGTATCATAACAGAACTCAAGTCTGGTCAGATATTTCAAGAAAAAACAAAAACACTAAGTCAGTGGAAAAAGGTTCAGCCTTCAAAGACATTTTCTGAAAGAACTGCCAAAGACAATATCTAAGCTCTCAGAGATCAATTGGTGCCAGCAATGTGACATGAGGTTTGTTCACAAAAAGTACTAAATTCTTAGTTATACATTTGAGATACAGATCCTGTTGAAAACAAAGTTCAGGACTAAGACACAAACAATGTAATCTATACTTTCTTGTGTGTGTTTACCAGTTAAAAGTGAAAGAAAACAAAACTTTCATTTAGTAAACATATTCCTACCTGAGTAGCTGATAGCACCAGTATTATGTTATCTAGTAATTAATAAAAGGCTTCCTGGTGGGGCAGTGGTTAAATACTCAACTGCTACCCAAAGGGTAGGAGGTTTGAACCTCTAACTGGTCCTCAGGAAAAAGGTGTGGCAATTTGCTTCCCTGCCAAGTAACAGCCTTGGAAAGCCTATAGGGCAGTTTTACTTTGTCCTATAAGGGTCATTATGAATCAGAATTGACTTGATGGTTGCTGTTAGTTGTAGTCAAGTTGAGTATGACTTACAGTGACCCTATTAACAACAGACTTGAGTCCCACTCTACCCTGTGCCATCCTCACCATCTCTGATATTCTTGAGCCCATTGCTTCAGTTATCTTGTCAATCCATCTTCATGGGGGGATCTTTTCTCTCTTTTGCTAACCTTTCACTCTGCCACACATGACATCCATTTCCAAGGAATAGCTTCTCTTAGAAACACATTCAAAGTATGAGAGATGAAGCTTTGCCATCCTTGCCTGGTAGGAGCACTCTGGTGGCACCTTTTATACGACACATTCCATGGGATATTCAGTACTCTTCTCCAACATCATAACTCAAAGCATTAATTCTTCTGTCATCCTTATTCACTGTCCAGCTCTCAGATGCATAGCAAGCAACTAAAAATACCATAGTCTGAATCAGGCACACCTTAGTCTTCAAACTGGCATTACTGCTCTTTAGTACTTTGGAGAGGTCCCTGACAGAGGACTTATCCAAAGCAATATGTCTCTTCTTATTTCCTGACTGCTGGCATCAAGAGTGTTGACTGTGAACCCAAACAAGATAAAAAGCATTAACAGTTTCAATACTTTCTCTATCATGATATTTCCCTCTGGCCCAGTGGTAAGGACTTTCGTCATCTTGATGTTAAGATGCAATCTATATTGAAGACTTCTGCAATAACTACTTCAGGTCCTCCTCGCTTTCAGAAAGCAAGATTGTGTCATCTGTGTAGTGCAAGTTGTTGATGAGTCTTCCTCTAGTCCTGTTGTTACATTCCTCTTCATAAGAATCCAGCTTTATGAATTATTTGCACAACAAATAGACTGAACAGGTACAGAGAAAGGAAACACAGTCCAGATGTACACCATTCCTGATTTCAAATCATAGTGTTCCCTTATTCCATTTGGATAATAGCTTCTTGGTTTAGGTATAGATTTCATAGGAGAACAACTAAGTGTTCTGGGATTCCCATTCTTCTCAATGTTAGCCATAGTTTGCTGTGATCTACACAAATGCCTTTGCATAGTCAATAAAATACAAATAGACATTCTTTTGGTATTCTCTGCTCTCAGCCAGGATCCATCTGACATCAGCAATTATATCCCTGATAACATGGCCTCTTCTAACTCCAGCTTGAACCTCTGGCAGTTCTCTGTTGATGCACTGTTCCAGTAATTTTTTTATGATCTTTAGCAGTACGTTGCCTGCATGTGATATTAATTATATTGATAATGTCCACAATCTGGTAGATCATATTTCTTGAGCATAGAAACAAATATGGATCTCTTCCAGTCAGTCGGCCAGTCAACTCTCCTCCAAATTTCCTGGCATAGACTGGTGAGCACATCCAGGGTTGCATCTGTTAGTTGAAAAATATCACTTGGTATCCCATTGATTCCTAGGGCCTTATTTTTTGACATTGTCTTCAGTGCAGCTTAAACTTCTTCCTTTGTTACTATTGGCTCTTGTTCATAGGTACTCTACTTTCTTTTAATGCTTCCCAGATAATTTAAGATTTTGGCATCTTTTAATGTGAGACTGCAATTTGTTTTTTAGTTCTTTTAGCTTGAGAAATGCTGAGCAAGTTCTTCTCTTTCTATTCTCTTGACTTCAGCACTTTGCCCATTTCATTATAATAGTTTGTCTTCTTGAGCTGCCCTTTGAAATCTCCTGTTTATTTCTTTAACTTCAAGATCTCTCAAGGCTTTCATGAAATTGTCATAGTTTCTTCTGAGATCCATTTTGGTTTTTTCTTTCTCCCCTTTGTAATGACCTTTTGTTATCTTCATGGATTATAGCCTTGTTTTCATTCTATAGCTCCTTTGATCTTTGATCACTAAAGATCAATGCCTAAAACCTGGTCTTAAGATGCTTCTTCAATTCAGGTAGAACAACCTCAAGATTATATTTTGCTTCTTGTGGATTTATTTTAATCTTCTTTGGCTTTAATATGATCTTGCAAATGAGTAACTCTTTCACAGTCTGCATCTGGTGTGGTTCTGAGTTACCCAGTTTTTGGTTAAGTTTCTATCACTAGGTGAATTAAGTAGAAAATGTTGTTGTTATGTTCCATCAAGCCAGAATGGACCGTAGGTGCCCCTCCAGCAGGCTTGCAGAGGCAGTAAACTTCATGGGAGGAGACTACCCATCATTTTCCCAGGAAGCAAGTGGTGGATTCAAACTACGTTCCTTTGTGTTGGCAACAAAGTTCCTTACCACCAGGTCACCAGAGCTCCCAAGGTAAAAACAGAATTACTTAAAACAATTTTCTGAGAAGAACATGAAGTTACATTTCACCTAGATTTTTATTAATGTTGTTTTTTAACAGAGTAGGATCAGTAGAAAGAAGAGTCATGTACAGATATGAAATGCAGTTAACAGTAATTGTTGTGGGGATGAAACAAACAAACAAAAAATCCAGTGTTTATGATAATGTAGTTCACTTGGGCCTGGGACATCATTAAAATGTTGGCTATTAAAAAAAATGTTGGTTATTGCTATTTCTATCACCAAGGTGCCAAAAAGAGGGAGACTATTTCACACAAGAGACTTCAAAATCCTATGCAGGTCAAACTGGTTCTTAATATACTGCAGCCATTTACAAAACTTTAATAGAGAAAGAAAATCGGTATATACTCAACAATTAAAGCAATCACTAACCTGAAGGCTGATCTTTTACAACACCATTTTTGCTTCTTTCTTCCCAATCCATTACTTCTTTGTAAATTAGCTCTTCAAACAGAAACAAATGCAAGTCAAAATGTTTCACCAATTTCTTTGCATCTATTTCTATAGCCTGCTACTCATTCAACTTTTGCCACTCGAAAGGCACCATGCACTTTCCATTTTCACATACAGTCAATTCATTCCTTTAGTCTAACTGGATTCTAAACATCAAAAAAACATACGGCAGTTCTGACCATCGGGGGGAGTTTAAGAGAATAGGAGAGCCTTCAAAGTCTTTCCTGTTCCCACATCCATTTTCATCCCATCATTACATTCCCTGAATCTAACCAGAATTCTGTGGTGGGTTATATGGCTCCTTTGACTGGGAAAAACCCAAGTCAAATAATTAAATCATGTGCCTCTATCTTCATTCTTAAGACATACTTATTAGTTTTTCAGTAAGTTACCAGTTCTGGTGACTTAGTGATAATGAGTTCCACTGCTAAACCAGGCTTGAGGTTCAAATCCACCAGCTGCTCTGTAGGAAAAAGATGGGCAATCTTCCCCCACCTTGTGCAGCCTCTGAAAACTCACTGGAGGGTCAGTTATGAGTTAGTTCTGACTCGATGACACGAAGAAGTCATGAGAGGTTCCTCAAATTTCTATACTCATAAACTAAAACCAGACACTTAATTTAAGCAAGTACTAAGGCCTAGGAGAAACATCTTTCTATGGAGCATGACTGTTGGCAGTATTCTGAACATGTACAAGTGTGGGTAATAGGCATTCTCGACACCTTGTGATTGGCGTGTGGGCCTGGGTTTTAACTTGCACTGGTCACTGTTCTCAATTGCTGATTCTGCCTTTCAATTACATTTCAGCCCCTTCATAACATTTACTGTGTTGTAGGACATGTGGTTAGTGATAAAATGGGTAAAAATAAAACAAACCCTAAAACAAAATTATTTGCATAGTTTTGATCTACAATTTCCCACAAACTCAATGTAAATAAATAATTATATGCGAACCAATAAAAAATTTTAAAAGTTCCCACAACTTAAAATTTAAAATATATATGCAACCATACATATATGTTTACATTACATATATGTTTATTTAAAAAAAAATAGAAGCAGAAGCTCACTCAGTCCCTAGACCTGTTTACCATGTAACTTTATAAGTAACAAGCTGCCTTTGGATCAGGGTTACTCAAGCATTTTACAGCATATTGTTAATAAAGGAATCCTGTGTGGTACAAACAGCTAATGCACTCTCAGTAGAGTAGGTAACTGAAGAGTTGCCAGTTGAAGCCACACGGAGACTCCTTGGAGGAAAGGACTGATGGCACACTCTGACATATGAGGTTGCCATCAGTAAGAGATTGCTTGAAGCAGTTGGTCTATCAAGATAAGTGTGATTCAAGTTCAGTCTGCCAATACTTGACAATGTAAATCATTTATAATGATTTGACAAACAGCTCTTAGTTTCCTCTTTTGAAGCAAACAATACACAATTTGTATATGTTCCTCTTTGTTTTCTTCAATCAAAAAGAGCAGAGATAGTACAAATGGGCTCCTCCCCTAAAAGGGCCACTACCAAAAACTTAAAAGCTTCAACTTTACAAAATTACAAGGAATATCACAAATAAGCATCAAGACAATTTGTGCCTTTACCTTTCCATTCTTCTATGGCATGTTCTCTTTCTTCCAACTGAGCATCATAAATTTGAGGTGGTGGCTAAAAATTAAATTACATGTAAAGTCAAAGGCATTCAAAAGCAAATATAAAATTACTGAGGATATTTCTCATTTACTTATGTTGTAGATTTAGTTTCACTTTGTATAGGCAATAAATACCCCTGGGACCAGTGATCAGGAAATCAAGAGACATGAAAATCTACAGTGAGAAAATAATGCTGCAAAGATCTCTCCAGAGAGTCAAAGAGCAACAATGTCAGTTTAAAGGCTAAGGTATATCTGATTTAATACATGGTCTTCTCATTTGCTTACAATGCATTGGAGAACTGAACAATTACTAAGGATGATAAAAGAAGAATCAGTATCTTTGAGTTCTGGTGCTGAGTAAGAGTACTAACACACTATGGACTTCTAAGAGACCAGGTCTTTCCTGGTGAGGATGAAACCTCGATGCTCCTTAGAGGCAAGGATTTTGAAGCTTTGTCTCACATACTTTGTGCATATTGTCAGGAGTGATCAGTACTAAGAGGAACATCATGCTTGAAAGTGCAGAAGGTCAGCACAAGAAAGTAAGATCCTGGATGAGATTAACTGACACAGTGTCTGTGGCAATGGGGTCAGGTGTGTAGGGAGATGGTGAAGTTGGAGCAGGACAGGGCAAGGTTCAGAACCCTCCTTCATGAGTTGTAGCTGACAGGTGGCACCTAACACCACAATAGTGCATAGCAAAGATTCCCCCCCCCAAGCCCCCACTAAATCAATTTCAAAACCAAAATAATTAATAAATAATTAAACAGAATTAGAAAACTCTGTTGCTCTTAATAATTATATGACTTAAAAACATTTGGAAAAACACTTGCTCAAATACAATCAGAACACTGATCTACACAAAGTGTATCCCAAAGCTCTAACATGCACTCGCCTGAGCCTGTACTGTCCTCTCCTCAATCACATTCCAGGTTTCCATTTATTCCAAATCCAACTTCAACTTAAAAACGTACCATCCCAAGTGTCCATTTATAAATCAGATATTTTTAACGTTAAGAAAATGCTTAAAATGGGGGGTCAACTCTCTTGTTGGTGTTGGGTGCCTTTGAGTAGGCCCCTATTCATAATGACCTTACAAATAACAGTAGGAGATCCTGCCTGATCCTGTATTGTCCTCACAATCTCACCTGTATGTAAGGCCACTGTTGCGGGTATGGCATCAATCAAACTACTAGAGGGTCTTCTTCGTTTTCGATGACTTTTTTCTTTTGCTAGCAATGAACTCTTTTTCCAAAGTGATTTGACGGCACACAACAACAAGAAGCTTCTCCTAACAGCAAGCTAGATGAAGTTTTACCATCTTTGCCTCAAAGGAGTAACCTGGTTGCACTTCATCAATGATAGATTTGTTTGTTCTTTTGGGAGTCCATGGAATATCTAGTGTTCTTTGCCAACATTATAATTCAAAGGCATTGACTCTTTTTAATCAAGAAGCAATTGAAGAAGATACCATAGCTTGGATCAGTACAGCTTAATCTTTAAACTGACATCCTTGTTCTTAAGCCCTATGGAGAGGTCCTTGACAGCATATTTTTCCACTGGACATGATCCTATCACTGACAATATTGTAGTTCAGTATATATATTGAAATATTATTTTTGAAGATGAATGTGACACTATTCATCTTCAAATTGTCACTGCCAGAATAGTAGACCATATCCAAATCAATATGGCACATACATCCCATCCCAGCTAATGCCTAGGATATCAATCTTTACACATTCCAGTTCACTTTTCCCCCACTAGTTCGCTGGATTTTTTTTTAGAATGAAATTTTATTTTTATCTTTGACAATTTATAACCAAGTACTAGACCTCATCACTACATCAATAAGCAATGTTGTTGATGAATATCATCGAGTTGAAACCAATACTTAGCTGACCATCGGGTTTTTAGTTTATTTACAAAATTCTAACACAAATTCGAACAAATTTTTCAATTTCCCTCATTGCTCCACCCATGAAACGGTATAATCCAATGATTAATCCCAGTTCACTTTTGACAACTCCTAATCTTCCCAGACTCATACTTCATATATTCATGGTTCGAAATTGGGAAGGGCGTAAGCCAGGGATGTGTCCTATCTCCATACCTTTTCAACCTGTATGCAGAACAGATTATCCGGGAGGCTGGGCTCTATGAGAAGAAATGTGGGGTCAAGATTGGTGGAAGATCTATCAACAATCTGCGTTATGCAGATGACACAACCCTGCTTGCTGAAACTGAGGAGGACCTGAAGCGCTTGCTGCAGAGGGTTAAGGACTGCAGCCTCCAATATGGATTGAGGCTCAATGTCAAGAAGACAAAGATTCTCACCACTGGACCAACTGGCAGCATCAGGATGGATGGTGAAGAGATTGAGATTGTTCACAACTTCAGTTGGCTTGGCTCCACAGTCAACACTCTCGGCACCAGTAGCCAGGAAATTAGAAGACGTATTGCCATGGGAAAGTCTGCTGTTAGGGACATCTCCAAAGAACTGAAGAGCAATGGTGTCTCTTTGGAGACTAAGGTGTGTCTGATACAGGCCATGGTCTTTGCTATCTCTTGTTATGCTTCAGAGAGTTGAACAATGAGTAAGGAGGATAGAAGGAGAATTGATGCCTTTGAGCTGTGGTGCTGGAGAAGAGTATTGAGAGTACCATGGACTGCTAGGAAAACAAAACAGATTCAACCTGGAAAGGGTCAAAGTGGGCTGCTCCTTGGAGGCAAGGATTCTAAGGCTCTGTCTAACATACTTTGGGCATGTTGCAAGGAGGGACAGGTCCTTGGAACAGGACATCATGCTTGATAGGGTGGAGGGACAGCACAGAAGGGGAAGGCACCCTATGAGGTGGATTGATTCAATGACTGGGGTAATTGTGATGGGTGTTTCAGAGACGGTGTGATTGGCACAGGACAGAACAGAGTTTAGGGCTTTTGTACATAGGGTCGCTATGAGTCGCAAGCGACTCGACAGCACATAACAACAACAACATGTTATTAATAAATGTTTATAGCTTTCTCCTCAGTTTGAGTTAGTCCACATTAGCAACTGAAGGTGTTTCTTTGGCTGAAAGCTTTCCTCCATTAATGTCATTACAACAGACTGTATTTTGAGGATGCAACTTTTCCTCAATCATCTTTTAAGTCTTCCACAATCTGAAGGCTTTATCTTCTGGCACAGCATCAGACAATTTTCTACTGCTATTTGTAGGGTTTCCAAGGGCTAAGTATTTCAAAAGAGAATGACCAGTCTTGGTTCCTACCTAGTTTGTCTTAGTCTGGAAGTTCTGTTGAAACCAATCCACCCTGGGTGATCTGCTGGTAATATTTTAAATACTAGTGAAATCACTCCTAGCAACAGGCAATCAATCCATCACAGTACAACAAACTCATAGAGGAATAGTGGGAACAAATCCACAAACCAAGACGTAAAAATGGGTTCCACTGGTTGCACAGAATAAGGGTTCTTTCTACTCTACTACTATTCACTTACAGCTGAAGATATTTAGACCAGTATTTCTGTGGAAAAGCAGAACTGAGTTCAAACTCAGGATGAACTGACCAAGTGAGAGAGGCTGAAATGCCTTTGAGGAAAGATAAACCAACCTGTGACTTCCTGAAGTCTCTTGAAACCTGACATTGTGCTCTAGATAAGGTGATGCAACCAATTTCACAGCACAGTGTCAAGTTCATAACAGATTCTAAATAAAAGGCTGATATTCTCCTCCAACGTAATTCACAGCCTCTGAAAACTTGCTGGAGGGTCAGCTATGAGTCAGTTCCTACTCAACAGCACATAACAACAACATATGATTATCATCATACATCAGCATTTGCATAAATATAACCACAGTTAAGTATGTAACTCTGAACTACAGCCCCAATGATAAGTAATCTCCAAAGGGATTGTGGCACAGATCACACACCATTCTGTGGCCTCTTTATAAACAGGAGCTTGTTTACACCTACAACATGCTGTCCTTCTGTAGCTACAGTAAGCCCCAGGAAGTGTAAGCCCTGCCTTTGCATAGAAACTTTTCCCAAACAGATACTTACTGCTTCTGCCTCAGCAGGGTCATACCACACAGTGATATATGGGTGGCGTAAAGCTTCATCTACAGAGATTCGTTTATCAGGATCAATCACTAACATTTTTGACAACAAATCCCTGGCTTGGCTTGCTGAGGGGAAGAACAAATATCAGATAAGTAAACTATTGTTCTTACTTTGAAGACAATTGGCATCATGTAACATAAAACTAAATGTGACAACACAGATAAATTTTAAGTTAGGAAATATAAAAAAGGAATATTTTAAAATATTCTTAAAGGCTCAAGATCAAGACAGAGCCTCACTTTAAGGAAAAAGATTCCACTTTTATTCCTCTTGAATGAGGTTTTATGTATTTTATGCCTCTGAGCATAAGAGAGGAGGAGGAATAATGTGAGAGGGAGGATCTCAGGCAAATTCAGAATAGTTGGGGCTGAGAAATCAGGTCCAGAGAAGGGGCTGAGCTGAGCTAGGTGGCTCTGCCTGGAGTCTAGTCATAAGGCATGAGTTGGTCCTCTTTTTGAAGTAAGATCAAGTTGAAACCAAACACAGTTTTAAAACCACACAGTAATCTCATCTTTCCAGAGCACACATACTTTCACATCAGAAACTCTTGTTTTGCCTACCTGTATACAGTATTCTAAGAGACCCTTGAAAATAAAAGTCTAGAGACCAGTAACAGTTAGGGAATTGGGGTGGGGGGAACCCACCCAAAAATCAACTGCCAAACAAACACCTACCAAACTTAGTACAAATTCAATAATTTAACTATAAGGCTCACTTGGGTTTTGGCAATGCCATTCACAATATGTACAAGAAAAGGAGAGACTAGGGCTTTTCTGTTTGAAGCAGTTTCCAGTGATGCTAGTAGAAGAAGTCTACTTCCTCCTCCTAAGCAATCACATCTTAGTAAAGGGTATGACAGGAGAAGGGGATGGGAGAAAGGAAATTTTTGTTCAAGTACTGAGGTATGATTTCTGACTTCAACCAAACAAAAAGTCTTTATTCAAGATCTCTTTGTATCTCAAACTTTTTGGGTAATTGTTTTAATTCATATAAGACTCAAAATTATTTTAGTTAAGCCACTTTATTGAGGAAAAACTTGGTCTTTAAGCTTTCTCTCAAAAATGGCTTTCAACATTTCAAACTTCTAGATTATAAATAAGTTTGAGAGTTTCAACAATTTTCTCTACAAACATTCAAGAGCACAAGTAGTAAAAAGCAAAAGCTTTACATGTATTACAGGGGGAAATACAGAATAAAAGATATCATACTTTTTATTTTATCTCGTTCAGATTCTGATGGGAATATCCAATCTGGAAAGAGTTCTTCAAACTTGATTCCAGGATACTTTGGTCTGTTTTCCACATAATTCCTCACAGTTGGCTGAAGTTTCTTCATGAAATCTGCTGATGGTGTTCCTAGCTGCTCAATAACTTTATTCCATTGATCAATATCTAAGAGGTTTCTTGAGGAAAATAAACTTAAATACCTTATATTCATATTACATAAAGTAGTATCATTCAAAGAAAAAATTAAGTTATAAAAACACCCACCAAATAGTAATTAACTGGATCATCCCACTGGGTCAACAGAAGTATGTGGAAATAATATTTAAATGAAATTCAAACCTTTTGCACTCTGTATCTTTACAAGTTTTTCCACTCAAAGTTATCTGGCAACTAAATATGTAAGAATCTGGCTGTGAACCAGCATATTGTCAGAGCCCTGAGATTCTCCACCACTTAGCAGTTGCACACCAAAGGACATCTGGTTAAGCATCTGGGTCTGGTTAAGCAAGCCTTGCTTGGTTCTAGACCCACACCTTTGGTTTACTAGAGATACAACTCTTACAGTTTCTTCTCTCTCCTACACTATTGACATTTTGGTGTCGTTGTGTACCGTAGAGTCATAATCAACCCAAAGCTGACCATCCCGAGGGTTTTCAGAGGCAGTTGACTGCATGGGAGGAGAATGCCCATCCTTCTCTCACGGAGCAGCTGGTGGCCTCAAACCACGTGCCTTCAGGATTGCAACGTAGCTTCTTGCAATTAGGCCACCAGAGCTTGTGTTGTTGTCCTCCAAAGCAGTTACATCATCATTCAAGCATGATGTTTCCTTCTCCCATCTTAAAAACAGCCACCACTGACAGTGACTGTATCAACGGGCTTGAGCACATGAGAGATCCTGAGGATGGAGCAGGATAGGGCATGCTTCATGTTCATAGGGTCACTATGAGTCAAAGTTGACTCAACAGCACCTAACAATAACAAGGGCTTTTGAAGAAGCCTTGGTGGCATAGTGCACATAGTATTAACAGACCACTAACCAAAAGATCAGTGGTTCAAATTCACAAGCTACTGTGATGGAGAAAAATGGACAACCTCAGAAAACCAATGAAGAGTCACTATGAGTCAAAGCTGACTTGACAGCAATGGGCTTACTTTCTTTTGATTACCCTTGGTAGCTATCACCCCATTTCATCCTGTTTGCAGTTAAACTTCTCATAAAGAGCTTACAATAGTTGTATCTCTAACTGCTTGCCTTCCATTTCTACCTTAAGCATATTTACTGGACATTTTCTCTCCAGCTATTGCATGAAAACTGCCCATGACTGAAATATCACTAAACCAACTGTCAGTTCTCAGTCTCTTTTTTTCTTTGTCAGGAAATGTGACCACGTGTATCTTTTTCTCATGTAATCTCCAGGCCTCTCTTTTTTCTGTTTCTTCCCTTTGTTCCTTCTTCCACCATCTCAGGGAGTTTTGTCCTTGGGCCCTTGATAGTGTTTGTCCACAAGCACTCTCTACCAACAGCAAGGTTTCTAATCCCAGTGACAGAATGCCACCCTTCTTCTGAACTCCTTTTTTTATTTTCCTAACAAGGCCTTGGGAAGATTCTACCTGCAAAACAAATGCATAGTTCAAGGCCTTCTCATCACTTTGAGTGCCACTACCCTGAGCAAGCCTCTCCTCCTCTGCTGGACAGCAGCAGCAGCCCTCCAGTGCAGTTCTGCCACTACTCTTGTGTTAGATAATAATCCTCAATAGAGAAGTTGAAAGATGCTCTTAAAAGGTAAATTAGACACGAAGTCTTAAAAAAAAGTGCTCATTTATTATCTGCTCAATTATGCATAAATGGTAATTTTTACAGACCAAAGAGAAAGTAGAAAGGAGGGAAATAACCAAGGTATGGCTAGATGACCATGTGAGTATGGACACACATCACTGTTAATGCACCGCGGGCCCTGAGGGGCAGATGCATTTTACACATAGCAAAGGCAGGCTCAGAGAGGCCCAGAATTTCCCTTCAACATAGTTACCACAAGGAGGAGTCAGAAACTGGTTAGGCCCAAATGGCCTGATTAAAGTTCTTTCATTCTTACAGCGGGAACAAGAGTTCCTTTTGTGCTCCTGATCATAAGTCTCTAAGAGCCTCAGTTAAAGTTTCTGGAATATTTTTCTATACCAAGGATTTTAATCTAATGTCTGAAAACACTAGCAAAACATTAACCTCTGTGATATTTTTTAGAATAATATTAGATGATTTTAGGTATAAAGCGTAATAATTACTGACATTACAAAATGCTAATATCTAAGTAGGGTATTTTTAATTGAGATTTTAATGAAAGTTTATAAAGAACTTGGATTTCCATTCATTCATTCATTGTTGCACATTTTTCTCCCTGTCCCACCTCCCCCAAAGTTAGTTTTGTTTTTTTAAACAGTTCTTTCATTGTAAGTAGGATTTTTTTAAATATAACTAATGATGTACCAAAAATAGCCACATTTTTAATTTCAGTAGTTCTTTTATCAGAGAGTTGGACAATGACTAGGGAGGACAGAAGGAGAGTGATGCTTTTGAGCTATGGTGCTGGAGAAGGGTACTGAATGTACCCTGGACTGCCAGGAAAACAAACAGATTTATCTTGGAGAGGATTAAACCAAGCTACTCCTTGGAGGCAAGGATTCTGGGGCTTCGTCTGACATACTTTGGACATGTTGCCAGGAGGGACGGGTCCTTGAAGAGGGACATCATGCTTGGGAGGGTTGAGGGACAACGCAGGAGGGGAAGACCCTCTATGAGATGGATTGATTCGGTGACTGGGGTAATCGGGATGGGTGTGTCAGAGGCGGTGCGGTTGGTGCAGGATAGAGCAGGGTTTAGGGCTGTTGTGCATAGGGTCGCTATGAGTTGGAAACGACTCGATGGCACATAACAACAACAACAGTTCTTTTATGAAAATATTTCTTTGTTAATAAAATGAGGCAAAAAAATGCCTGCAGATTGGGAAAAATTAAATGTTAAACAAATAATTCCAAATAACTTGTCTTTAGAATACACCCAACTTTCCCTCCCTTTTTTTTAACTTTTCCCTTTTTAATTGAGTTAAGTAGCAAACTAAAATTGCACACTCTGACACAGTATATCTGAGCAAGGATATGAAAACTGCCAGGAATGTGGGTTCTGTGTTTTTGTTTGTTTTTTTTTTTTAAGTTGTACAATAACATACAGAGGTATTCTCTCCTCAGAACAATCAACAACAAAAGATCACAAAGGCAGTATTTGCTCCAGAAGAACGCTCTAGGGTAGAAAGGAATAGGCTAAGAGAGATGAAGCAAGACAATAATCACAAGGAGGCAGCAGAAAGAGTGCTGTTACACTTGGTACTGTCATCAGTGCTGTTCAACAAAATTTACAGAAACTGAACTGAAAATCAATTTGCTCTGTACATTTTCACTCCGAGGATAAACATAAGAGAAAAATGTATTTTACTTCATACTTTATCGGATTGGTCATGCAGAAATATAAATCAGTATGAATAAATTATTTTCATGCCAAGTTTGTGTTGTAAAGAATTTATAAGAAAACCACCCTCACAAAATCACACAAAACATAAAATTCCTTTAATAAAATACATACAAAATACTGATTTCAGAACTTGATTCTTTTTAAAAACAGCCATCAGTTGGGCAATGGCAGAGACTAAGCTTTTATAACAAAATATAAAATCAAACATTAATGAAAATACTATGTAGTCAAAATACAAATGAAAAGGGTGTATGTGAAGAACCATGTTAGAGTGAAAAATATTAAAAATGGAAGAATGGCTATAGGAAGATGGAAGGCTATCATAATTATTCTATCACTTATTTTCCTTTATGCTGTATCATTGATTGGCTGATCACAGTGTAATCCAATCTTCTGCATTTTATATTTACCTTCTCAATGTGTCCAAAAATACCCATAGGTAAAATTTCTATCAAATGTCAGAAGAATAACAAGAAAATTTAGCTCCTTCTAAAATTTCTATTTACTATTTTTCACTTAGGCCTTAACATAATCTGTTTCAGCTCTTATTTGAGGGAAAATATTTTAATGTATAACTAACACAACAGAGTATCAGTTTTATCACACAAGCATACCAGCCAACTAAACTTAAGACAGCTACTTTCCTAGTTAAATTAATTTTATTAATTAAGTAAGCAGTATTTTATTTAAATATCAGCCTATATTTATCAGAATAAATAATTCTTATATACATCAAGCTTTTTTTGATAAAACTAAGAGCTAACTTAAATGGTTTAAGTTTCAACAAAATCATTACATGTAATAAAATAAAAAAACACAAAATAGAACCACTTGGTTTATGATACTACTTTAACAAGCATACAAACTCGATTCGAATACTGTTTAGAATGATGACATTTCCCCTTTGTGAGTTCATAAAAATAGTTAGCTCATTCTGCCTCGGGCATTTATGGAAAGCAAAGCTAGGGTGAGATCCCGGGGAAGGATACGATCAGTACCTTGGAATATCACACAACCTTTCACCAGTTCTCCCATGATGCACCCCACTGACCAGATATCAACTGAAAATAAAATGAAATGAAAAATTATGAAGTGCCATGAACAAAACAAAGGTGAGAAAAAAAAGAATTCTAACAGTGTACTAAACACACAAATATGGAAAAATAAATTGCTAGCTAAGGGTGAACTTTCCACACAATATGAATGATCACTGATCTCTATTTTTCATTTTCAGTTTGTATCAATCTAGGATTTTAGTGCCAAAGATTTAATTAAACAAATGAACAATAACAATAAAAATTCAGAAATAAGCCATGCCCATAAGAGTCCACCCCATCTCCACCCCACCACCGGCCTCCATGTGTGGTCTTCCCTGTGAAGGATACAGTCTCTTCCCGGGAACAGGACTTTATGGAGGACCATTTCTGCCATGATGCACCCGACAGACCAGATGTCCACTACCAAACATCAGGGGATTAAAAACTAGACTGATGTTCTGCATGCCTTTTCCCCAAACCTCCTCCCCAGAGAAGCTCAAAACCATTCAGAACACCAGCTTGCCTAGTACAGTAGCCTTCGGGGAATGCCAACTCTGAGTAGTCACTGCTGAGATGCAGTGTGTTTGGGATGCAAGGGAAGGTCCTGAACTCTGTGGGGCCCAGCTTTACCACATGCCTCTGGCTACATAGGTAAAAAGCTATTATTAACAGGGCATCTGATTTCCTCTTGCTTTCAAGAAGCCAGTCCATAGAGCTTTACTTTACAAAGTGGGAACACATGTTATCAATAAACCAGGGTGCTCTCCTATATGCACACTACACTTATATAACATGTTCAAAAATAGTTTTTCAAAAGTGAATTATTTTAACTAATGGAATATAAAGTTAATTTTTTATCTATGGACTATGATAAATAATATAGTTCTCATATTTCATACAGTTTGAATGAAAGAGGGGAAATACTCTAATAATGACCAACTATATTCTTACAAATAACATTTGCTCTGTCCAGCACAGTCAGTACTCACCATTCTCTTTGTACCCCATGCCCAGGATGACTTCAGGGGCTCGATAATACCGCGTTACCACGTAGGGGGTCATCATGAAGTTAGTGCATGCTGTCCTGGCCAGACCAAAGTCAAGGATCTTAAGGGTGCAATCTGATTTTACTACGATGTTGCTAGGCTTCAAATCCTGGGAAGAAAAGTTTAATAAACTCAAACTAGAAGATCCACTCTTTTAGGAGTTGGTAAAGTAGGTAATATAAAGTGATTTGTTTCTAGTTTCCTTTTTTAAAACTAAGGAATCTAGTATTTCAAATTAAAAACACAAAAACTTATTGTTGGAGAGTCAAAGTTGACATTTAAATAATCCTTTATTTGGCTTCCAAGGCTATAAATTGTCTAGAAGGAGACTGCCCACCTTCCTTCTGAAGGTCCACTGGTGTATTTGAACCATGATGTTTGGAGTAGCAATGCAACTGTCTATGGACTAGGTCATCAGAGATCCTTATTCAGACTTAAAAAAAAAACAAACAAAAAAACAACCCAACGAGAAAAAAAAAACCCACCAAAAAAAACACGGTGCAACCACTATTGAAGAAGATTTGGCACTTTCTCAAAAAGTTGGAAATAGAAATACCATTTAACCCAGCAATGGCACTGCTGAGAATATATCCTAAAGAAACCAGAACCACCATCCAAACAGATATATGCACACCATGTTTACTGCTGCATTATTTAAATAGCAAAGAGAATCCCAGTGCCCATGAACAAACAAATGGATAGAACAACTATGGTATATTCACACAATGGAATACTATGTAGCACTGAAAAAAAATGAACTCATAAAACATTACACAACATGCATAACCCTGGAGGACATTATGCTGAGTGAAACCTTGGTCACAAAAAAAGACAAATACTGTATAGCACCACTGTAATAAAGCAGGTCTGACATGGGGGGGTTGGGAGAAGAAGTTAAGAGTGGATAGATAATGAACACTGCATTGAAACAGATGAAGGAAAGAACTGATTAAAAGGAATATACAATTGGACATTATACGTACAACAGCCCAGAATAAAAGGTACATTGCATAGAGGACTGGGGAGAGGGGTGTAATTGTGCAACAATGAATGACTTTAAAAAAGTAATCTAGGAGTGGGGGAAAGGAGGGAGAAGGGGTACAATGTGTAACGATTTAGGAATGAAAATCTAATTTTTCTGTAAACTTATGTTAAAATCATAGTAAAAAATATTTAAAAAAGACAAATTATTACATAAGTTTAAATCCAACCGTCCCCTTCCACATATTATGTATATAATACACACATACGGGCATATATGCCCAGACATACACTGAACAATATATACCATACACATGCCCACACCTTAAAGTACATATTACATGCCCACACATAATACAACCATGAGCACCACTTTCAGGTGGGCATGTGGCAGAGAAATAGGCCCTTCCTCACATTTTATTGAGAGTGCGGGACAGGGACCCATCAATGCTTTATTTTTAGGAGGCTGAATTTTTTAACATTTGAAATGTTAATACTTGAGCACCCAGCAGTCTCTGAAATCCAATCTGACCTAGAAATAACAGCACAGCCACATGAACAAGGATGGTTGATGTAACTGTTTCTAACCATGGAAACAGAAGACACCACCTCCACAAGGTCTCCTGCTGCAAAACACTCCATTTCTAGACACTTCACCTGTCAGAAAATTGTCAAACTATACTGATTTTGTTGGAACAACATCCTTACCTGCCATCTGCTGAGGAGAAACTATGATATTGAGCTATGAATCTGGTATGTCTATGACATATACAGCAACTGAGAGGTGCCTGAGAAAGGTACTGCCTACGCCAGGGCAGAGGCGGCCTTGCCCTTCAATATCTGCCAGTGGTAAAAAGGTTAAACAGACCAGAGGGTTGCTTCAGATCTTGTCCCATGCCCACGGCCTCTCTCCAATTAACCTCTCCAATATAAAAAAGGTCATCTTTCTAAAACTCAGTGGAACTTATGGTATTAAGGTGGTAGAACAAAGACAGTTCTGCCCTTCAACTCCTGAAAAACATTCCCAAACAAGGAAAATAAACACACAAATTATAAGATAAATGATACTTGTAGGAGTCACAAATACGTGCCACTCAGACTTTGTGGCAGTCAGAAAGGTCCAGTGGTGAGCTGACTTCATCCATGTGTTTATGAAGCGGCCATCCTTCCCAAAGGCTGCTCACAGCCAACAGGTAAGTGGAGCAGGTATACAGAGAGGCCCTTGTTCACTTGCTCTGGGAAAGCAAGCTGAAGATGTGGCAGCTAGACATCTGAATGCTTGGCCAAGGTAGGTCTGTTATTCTAAGTCCAATGACTGTGAAAACCTGGGACCTTGGAGAACAGGATAGAGAAATCTGGATGGATGTCCCTAAGACTTCTGGCTTTCCAGACTCCCATAAGCCCACAGAGTTTAAAGAGGTATCGATCCTTTCCTAGGAAGAGCTGGCATTCCCATTTGCTGGAAGACGCTATAGAAGTCTTTCCTGTTGAGAGGGTGTCCATGCCTTCCACCTCTTCTAGCTACTAGATAAAAGTCAGGGTTAAATTTTAGTGCAACCTGGCTAGCTCTAATAAAGGAGAATATTGTCCACAAGAGGAATCACAGGATGGCCTGGCATGTACTCAGGGAGCAACTCCCTAAAATTTTGAGAGTACTTAGTTGAGGGGCCAGAATGTGAGCCAAGGTAAGCAAGAATCACTGACTTGCTGAGTTAGAGGGAAGAGAATGAACAGTTTCTTGGTCACAAAGTTTAACATAGTGGCAAGAACACAAGTTGTTGTTATGTGGCATTGAGTCACTTGGAACTCATAGTAACCCTATGCACAACAGCTCTGAACCTAGGCCTATCCTGAGCCAATCTCACTGTCTCTGAGACCCTTACTCCCATTACCCCAGTTACTATATTGATACATCTCCTTGAGGGACTTCCTCTCTTGAGCTGTCCCTCCTCCCTTCCAAGCATGATGTCATCACAGATCTGGTCCCCCCATGGCAACATTCCCAAAGTATGTGAGATGAGCTTCAAAATCCTTGCCTCCAAGGAGCAATCTGGTTGCACCCTCTCCAGGACAAAGCCATTTGCTCTCTTGGCAGTCCATGGTATGTTCAATACTCTTCTCCAGCACCACAAATCAAAGATCTATTCTTCTGCATCTATTCTTCTTCTGTCATCTTAGTCATTTTCCAACTCTCTGATGCATAGCAAGCAACCAAGAATACCATGGCCTGGATAAGGTATACCTTGGTCTCTAGACTGACATCAATGCTGTTTAGCACTCTGGAGAGGTCCCTGATGGGAGATTTTCTTGATGTAATTAGTCTTTTGATTTCCTGACTGCTGGTGCCTAGAGTTTTGACTGTGGAACAAGCAAGTTGAAATCATTAACAATCTCTTCTCCATCCATCATAGTGTTGCCAATAGGCTCTGTGATGAGAATCTTTTTGTCTTCTTGATATTCAACTTCAATCCTTATTGAAGACTGCAGTCTTTGACTTTTTTGCTGCAAACACTTTTCCTCTTCAGTTTGGGTGAGCAAAGTTGTGTCATCTGTATAATGCAGGTTGTTGATGAGTGTGATGGTAGCTTTAAAGTTAGGGGTTTTTAGCCATTACAGTTAACCTCCTCTGGTCTCCAGCTACCTTAACTGCAGACTCATGCATGGTCTTGCAAATTAGTAGCAACAGTGGGACTAGTATAAGAGAAAGAATGTTTCCTATAATAGGCATAGACTTGAGGTGAGCAAAACATGTGGCAACAAGACTTGAGGAAGAGTGAGACCCTGGTGATGGTAGTGGAGAGACTGTGGCAAGGTGTGACCTGAGGCTTCTTGTATTTGTGTTGGTCACAGTTAAAGGTTTTGCTGTTCTTGCCAAATGCTTGAAGGAGAAGCTGACTTTATAACTGTTCTGAGGCAAACCTTGCTGGATGATTTGGATTTGACTGCTGAACTGAAATCAGATCTTTGACTAATTGAAGAATTATTGCCTTGGAACTGTTGGGCTAAAACTTGACTTGTATTGTGAGATACCCTTTGCCTCTCCCACTCTCCAACATGATTCCCTAAAAATCCACATTCTCAGTACCACAACTTTAAGTTTGTAAGTCAGCAATGACTAAATGAACCTCTTGCTCTTGGTGGTTGGTGTGGTTATAGGAGCACCATGGGGCTGGGCTAAGGGCTCTTTATCTGCTTTATGCTCTGGGGTGGTGAGGGGCTGTTACTCTCACTCTTTCTGGTCCTTTCAGAAAGACCCTCATGGCCTTGTACCCCCATTTTTCCTCTTTAGACAATGAGTCTTCTTTCAATCCTGATGCCACATTCCTCATAAAGTCCACTCTCTCAAATAATCTGTTCTGCATACAGATTGAAGAAGTATGGAGACAGGACACATCCGTGATGCACTCCTTTTTCTGATTCTGAACCATGTAGTGCAATTGGCACAGGATAGAGCAGGGTTTAGGGCTGTTGTACATAGGGTCGCTATGAGTCGCAAACGACTTGACGGCACATAACAACAACAACAACAACAGTGTTTCCTTGCTCTGCTCTGACAACTGCCTCCTGGTCCAAGTTTATGTTTCACATGAGCACGAGCACAATCAGGTGTTCTAAGATTCCCATTCTCCTCTAGGTTAGTCACAACTTATTGTGATCCACGCAGTCAAATGTCCTTGCATAGTCAAAGAAACACAAACAAGATATCCCTCTGGAACTCTGCTTTCTGTCAAGATTGTGGAGGAGAGCAATGCTTCCATTAACATCTAAAGGATGTAAGCATGGTGGTTATCGTTGTTATCAAATTGATTTTCAACTCACAGTGACAGAGCAAAACTACCCCACAGGGATCTGTAGGCTATAATTTTGAGGGCAGATCACTAAGTCTTTTTTCCTCAGAAGCACCAAACTTAGTTAGCAATTCAACACTTGGTTGTTGCACAACCAAACCCCCTTGCAGGGATGCCCATTTCTCTGTTGTTGCTGGTCGCTGTCCAGTTGATGCTGACACATGATGACCCTGTGTGCATAAGAACTCTGTGGAGTGGAACAGAACTACTCCACAGGGTTCTTAAGGCTATTACTACCAGGCTTATCTTTGAAGGTGCCTCTGAATGGTTTTAAACTGCC